GTACTGTATACCTAGAATGTACCAATAAACTCAATGAGAGAAAATAAATAAAATAAAATCTAGTTTGTGACATGTAAATGCCTCTTACAGATCTGACACTCCCTCAGCCAGTTATTTGTGACAGTATGGCTGCTGACCTTAAATCTGAGAGGACAGAATTCACTGAAGAGTCTGGCCCGATTCCCCTCCACGCTCATGGCAGGAAATGTCAGGCCTGTTCTGCCTCAGTCTCCTTTCTAGGTCACATGTTCCCTTGGTGAGGAGGCAGTCTTAGCTCTTGAGATGCCCCATTCTAGCCTCCAGGCTGAGAATGACGACTCACGGGCAAACTGTCTCACTAACTCATTGTGAGAGTGCAAGAGGACTTTCCATCCTCTAATCTCATTTCTGATCTTTTTCTTTCACTTTGTACTCCACCCCCTTTTTTGAGGCATGTTTCTTCCAAAGATTAGAGAGAGAGACTCTGAAAAGGTCATAGCTCCAATCTGTCTCAGCCTTTCCCTTCTATCCAACAACTAAGAACTTCCAAGTGGAACCCATAGAAAATGAGCGCTTGTTAACACCGAAGACAGGGAAATCATCTTCACTGAGAAACACATACCCCACCTCTGGGTCAGATGAGACATCGGAATTTTGCCTGCACAGGTGAACAGACATGAAGGTGATCTCTCTGCTAGTGTTCTGGGCACAATTTCCCTTCCAGCAGGTACAGAAAATTGAAACCTGAGACTCAGTGGAAAGAACTGCCTTCTGGATGACAAAAGAAGGACCTGTTTCCTAAGGATTATACTTAAGGGTCCGAAACACATTCAGTTCAGGAGAGAATTTCTAAAATTACTTTTATGCCACAGCCTCATACTCAAAAAGGCCCAACCTCCTGCCTCTCTCCTCCTAAGCCTGATTCTTTCAACATATGTGTGTAGGGGAGGGAGGTACTTTTGTGTACGTTGTGGTTGCCAGACAATGAGTTTAGGTTTTAACTTGTGGGTTTCCTAAGTGTTTTACAGATGTAGAGACACAGAAATGTGTAGAGTGGATTTTGTTTAAAGCATAGTGTCGCCTTGCTGCCCAGGGAGGATGCCTAGATGATTAGGTAGATAACACAATGTCTCAGTGACTTCTTTTCTATAGTCCCCTGTGGGGAAACTGAAACTCTCACCTAACAATAGTATGCAGAAAACTACAAGTGGTTAACAAGGAGCTAATCTATCAACTTAATGAAGCCACTGTGATCAAATAAAAAGAACATTCCAGCCCAAAGTGCATGTGAATACCTTTTGACCTTAGGAATCGTAAAATATTATGGTGTCTAAACATTCTCTTGTGGTGTCTTTCTGCAGATGTTTCTTGTGTATCTACACAAGATAATGTGCTGATAATGTGTGTATAAATAACCAGGTTGCCTCAATTAAAGCAGACAGTCTTTTGTCTCCACTCTGCCTAGAGTGTCTTTACTTTTCAATCCTCACTCTCTCCTTCAGGTACTGTTGGACTAGTGGGGGCTGGTCCCCCACAGTGCCCAGAGCAGGATTTTTCTGAGCCATTACTTGCTTCTACCTCTAGAGATGACCTTTTGCTCTGACTCTTTGCAATCTTCCCTTTTTTTCCTCTCATTCTCTTTCAAAGACTTGGAAATCAGTTGTTTAGATCTCTTGATCATTGGTTTAATTTTGCTAGCAACACTTCCTTCTTTAAAGATGGCCAGGAATCAGTTGTAGCTCAGACTTTTGGAAACACACTTTGGAGTTGGGAATGTGAGTTCCCGGAGAAAGTAGGGGTGTGCCTGGTAAGAGTGGATCATCTAGCCTGAACTATCTTCTGGTCACTCCTGGATAGCAGTCACCTGCTTTGCAGCATTTCACTTGAGGGGATTAAAACATCAAGTAGGGATTAAAAGAGATGCCTATTTTTCCCCTTGCTTTTGAGAAACAATTTTGAATTCTCTTATTCCTTTGGAATGTCTTCTTACACTAAGATCTGTTTGATCCTCCTTGGGAAACAGTGGTTTAATAGTTGACAAAGAGTGGTTTAATATTCTGCACCCATGTATGGCCTGCCTACCCACCAGAGATAAAATAGAGAATGCAAACGGAAGAATCCAACTTCTAAAACAACTATAACCGAGGCTACCAAACTGTAAGTGATTGCGCAGATGGAACTAACAACAAATGTGCCAGACTCCTTCTACTGGGATCCATTAGATTGACGTTGTGAAGGGAGTTCCTCAGTGCTAAATAAACTGCAACTGCAACATGACTTCTATCTGAGGCCCTTAGCTTAGCTCTCCGGAGAAGGCCCCTGACTGCAGTCTCCCCTACACTGACCCTTCTCAGCTTGAAGCAGCCTAGATGAAAACTACGCTCATTCTCCCCTAACCAAATTTAGAGATATCTCTTTAGAGGGGATAATGGTATAGACAGCTAAGTAAGGTAGAAATATTATAGGCAGTCAGAAGGGCTAGCCCCTCAAGGGAGTTAGTGCAGAATAGGAGAACACATCAGAACTGTGGCCAGAGGCGCATCTGAAGATTAAAGTCACACTGGCCAGATTTACATACTTCCCTAGGGATAAACAGAAGTTTAAGATTATTGGTGAGATTCTCACTACCATTGTGAGATTTCCTGTATAAATAAACCATTATCTCATTAGGGGTTGGCCATCCTCTCCCAACCACTAAGACTAAGACTAAAACTACTAAAACTGAAATTACTAAGACTAAAGACAAGACTAAGATGATAAATTATGGACCAAGTTTAATGATATCATCAATATACCCTGGCTACTACTGGATCGCTATTAGCCAAGTGGCTATACTTGTTTTGACTCATGTTGCACCTACCTTGTGATTTTGCTCTATAAAACTTTCTCAGAAAGGTGGGCTCATTGGCAACCCATTCAGGACTCCTCCTGTCTCTCAGAAGCTATTCGTATTTCACAATAATTTTTCCTACTCTTAAAAAAAATGTATTAAGTCATCCAAGATTCTACCAATTCCAGGGTTATTTCCAAGTGTTAAGGATTCCAGGTTGTTCCTACATCCTCCTTAGGTATCTTTTTTCCCTCTGGGTGTTGGGGAATCAAACCCTGGCATATGCTAGGCAAGTGCTCTGCCACAGAAGCCTCCCCCAGCCCACCCTTTGTGCTTCATTATCTGGAACTGCCAAAGACTCTAAGGTGTTTCACACTTGATTTCTCAAGCAGTTGCTCAAGCAGTTAATATCCTGACCAGAAGAGCCAGAAACACTGAAGGGGGGGGAAAATAGAATTTGAGGCTGATAGTTCTGCAAGAGGTTAAAAGGAAAGCAAGAAGACAGCTAGCAGATGTTCAGAAGTGAATGCAAACACATCGCAGTGATTCTACTAAAAAATTATTCCCTTACAAAAAAAATTTCTTTTCACACACAAACTCCTTTCAAGATAAAGAGCCTCCTCTAACATCCTGATCCCTAAGCATGGGTACTAAGGATCTTCTGAATGCCATGTGAACAACAAACCTTTGAACCATCTGTCATCAGATGCAGAAATGAGGAGGGCTGAGGAGGTCAATGTGTACTCTACAGAAACATGACAACTCTGGGGCTTGGAGTACAGCTCAGGGAAGTGTGTGCCAGGCATGTGTGAAGCCCTGGGTTGGCTCTCATGCATCTCACACAAATACACACACCACATTTAAAAAAAAAATTATATGAATGATACATGGTGATTTCTAATTTTCAAAGGTCTTTATAAGAAAAAAACTAAAAGTTGAGTGGTAGGAACACAGGTATTTAACACTATTCTTTATACCTTAACACGTATTTTATAAATATTTTTTTGCTATTTACAAAATAAGCACTGTACCTGGGCACAATGGTGCACACATGTAATCACAGCATTTGGGATGTTAAGGCAGTATGATCATGAACTTGAGGCCAGCCTGGGCTACAAAGTGAGTTCAAGGCCAGCCTGAACTACACAGTGAGACCCTGATCCTGTTTCAACAAAACAAAACAGAGAGAGAGAGAGAGAGACAGAGAGAGAGAGAGAGAGAGAGAGAGAGAGAAATCAAGCTCTCTTGAGTATCTTAACACATCACACTCTGCTTTTAAAATCTCTGTCCAATTTTTTGGGCCTTCAATGTAGAGTATCATATTGTCAGCAAATAATGACAGTTTAACTTCTTCAGTTCCTATCTTTATTTCTTTAATTTCTTTCTCTTGTCTAATTGCTGTAGCTGTTTCCAGAACTATATTGAAGAGGAGTGGTGATACTATAATTGTACATAAGATCCTAATGGTATAATTGACAATACGAAATAGGAAGAAAAGGGCTAAAGGTGTAGGGGAAGTGAGAAGGGTGGGGGAAAGGAAATAAGGGAAAAGAAAAAAAGAGAAAATGGAAATAAAGTGTTTGTAAATAGGGAAGGGAGGAGGGGGTGAAGGGAGGGCAGGGGTAAGGGGAAAAAATGAGAACCAAGACCTGTCATGCAAAGGTACAAGATCCCAATGATGAATGTAACTGCACTGTATACTTAAAATGTACCAATAACTCAATGAGGGAAAAAAACTCTCTGTCCAGCTGGGTGTGGTGGTGCATGCCTGTGACCCCAGCTCTCAGGAGGCTGAGATAGAAGGATTGCTTTAAGTTTAAGACCAGCCTGGGTTACACAGTGAGTTCAAGACTGGTCTGAACTGCATAGTTCATTAAAAAACAAAACCCTTCTTTTTTTCTGGGTGGTACGGGGGATTGACTAGAGGGCTGCTTTACAATTTAGCTGTCTTCAGCTTTTCTTATTTTTTATTTTGAGATAGGATCTTGCTCAGCCGCCCAGGCTGGGCTCAAATTTGTAATCCTCCTGCCTCAGCCTCCCAAGTGCTGGGATTATAGGCATGCACCACCATGCCCAGTGGGAAGTAATCTCTTAAATGCATGGCTATGGGGCTGGGGCTGTGGGCTCAGTGGTAGAGGCTCATCCAGCATGTGTGAGGTTCTGGGTGTGAACACCAGCACACACACAAAGTGCTTGCTTTGGCAGCACACACTAACACTGGAATGACACAAAGAAGATCAGAACAGCCCCTGCATCAGGATGAAATGTAAATTTGTGAAGTGTTCCATATTTTAAAAGAAAAAGCATAGCTGTGCTTTCTTGGCTGCTGCTGTCACATTACAACTCAGTGTAGAAATTAATGAACAGTGTATTTACAATATTTTGCCAGACAAATCAAAATAGACCAAAACTAAATAGGCCTAAACCTTCTTTTTACAGGTATCTGTTTCCTCCTAGACTTTTCTTTTCTTTCTTTCTTCTTTTTTTTGTACCGGGGATCCAACTTGGGACCTTGCACTAGTGAGGCACGAGGCAGAAAAACTGAGCTAAATCCCTGACCCTCACAGACTTTTCTTGTGGCTGCCTGCCTCTAAAACATCTCGCCTAGAACTGAAGTACAATGGAAAATTCTGAATGCCCGTTCCTTATCTAATCTAGAGAGTCCAGGTTACTTTTGCATACCTACTGCTGGGCCTAGTGACTAATCCATTAGTCAATGGTGAAAAACTGGTATAGCTGGAAGATGAAACAATGACTAGTCAGATACTCTAAAAGCGTGGTGGCACACATCTGTACTCCCAGCACATTCAGGAGGCTGAGGCAGGAAGATCAGTCTGAGTTTGAAGCCATAGAGAGTTAAAGGCCAGCCTGGAATACAGAGACCATATCTCAAAAAGGGGTGGGAGTGAGGGCTGGGAATGTGGCTCAATGTGAAGGCTCTGGGTTCAATCCTTAGTTCTACCCCCCCAATACACCACAGTCTACTTCATATAGCCAATATTCAGGTGGCTGTGTAGGAGTTTCTCACAACCGCACAGGCAGATATACCACCACGAGGTTGGAGGTTTGTAAAGGATCTGGTCAAGGCCTTGGAGTAGAAATGGAATTTAGAGGTTGTATAATCACTGTGTCTCAGAAGAGCTACTATAGACATTTTTTGTCTTCCTCTGGTTTGAGGAACTTGTGATGTCACTTTCTAAACCCAGCCTTGAATCTAATGTGATCTTGACACTCTATTTCAGTTAATTTACTTCAAAATTTTATATAAAAACAAGGCCAAAAATCAAAACAAAACAAAAAACAAGGCCAGGCCCTTCACCTTTCCTTTTAATCAACAGTTGTGGTGGCTGGCGATTGAGCTCAGTAGTGCCAAAGCCCACCTCATAAGCACAAGGTCCCGAGTTTGATCCCCAGTACCAAAAAAACAAACAAAACAAAACAACAACAAAAAAACAAACAACAAAAAAACCCAAAACCAAAAAGAAAACATAGTTGTGATTCTGGATGTCAAGTTTTTCTCAGCTCAGCAATAAGCCACAACATCCCAAGGTAGTTGGACAGCACATAACCCTCAGTAGGCAGGGCCTACAGTTACAGTCCCTTTTGGGAGGAAGCAGCTGTATGCAGACAGAGATCACCAAACCCTCAGCATTCCATAAGGAATTTTTCGGATTTATGTGTCTCAGGGGCAAATGAGGCAGGAGGTTAGGTGTGGTCAGCTCTCTGGGCAAGTGGTGTGACTTGTCAATCATGGAGCTTTAGGACACACATGGGCCCAAGCCCTGCACTCGGACCAATCAGAGACTGCTATTTTCAATTCCTCTGGCACGACATTAAGCAGGGTTTTGATAGGATGGCCTAGATCTGACGTCAGAATGGGAATCCAAAAGATGGTGGTCAAAACCTGGGGGGCTACTGTGAGCTCTCTTTCAGTGGCCCACTCTCACTGCAGAGTGCACCTCTTTTCCTACTTTTAAGTGGCTCACATTCACTCTGCAGAGTATACTTCTTTTCCTACCTTTACATTTAAAAATTTTAAAAATCACAGTTGTGGAGTGGGTAGCATTGACTGTGCCTTCGGGACCCTCCTGCCTGAAAAGATGTTAAGAATCAAATATTTGAACCGTAAAGTTTTAAAAATATCTTAAAAGACAGAGAAAGAAAAACTAAAAGAGTAATGAATACTCTGTAAATAAAACCTACTAGGTAGAAGTCAAGCCTAGGGCTCCTAACTGGATAAAACATGCCAGGGGCGGAACCTGAAGATGGTCCTTTGCCTCCTCCCTACTCCCTTTCTCCTTCATAGACCAGATAGTCAAACAGATTGCAGACCCTGGATGGCACAGCCCCGGGAGACAGTTACACCATGTACCCTTCTTCCTGGCTCCCTCTCTGTGCATGCCCCGATCATCAGACAGTCACGCTACATTCAGTCTAGGCCACAGCCTTAGCTCCCGACAGGCCATGGCTCCACCTGGTCCCAGCTTTCAAGCATAATCTTGATGTTTTCATTTTTCTTCATCTCCCACTGCTCTCCCAGCTTCAGACCCTATGCCATGTGGTCACAACAAAAACATGTTAATAGAGAACAGATAATGCAATAGAGTTAGCCTGGCCAATTAACGAGTTCAGAGGCTAAGGAGGTAGCTCAGTGGTAGAGGATGTGCTTAGCATACAGAGAGCCCTGAGTTCAAATCTCAGTGCTGTCAAAACAAAATGAAACAAAACAAACTTGACTCTTAGCAAATCCCATTCAGAAATTACCCAGGTACTCTTTGCAAAAGCATCACCTGCATATCCAGGCCACATGACACCAGGCTTTGAGGCCTCTGAGGTCGAAAAGCAACAGAGGAACAGATATTGGAATGTCTCTTCAGGGATCTGCTAACTTTCTTATTTTCCAAGTCTAGTATTTTGATTGCCCCGGAGTCGTCACCAGAAGCCAGCAGGTTTTCAGTTTCATTCAGTGAAAGACAATTGATTTCTTCTTCGTTCATGTGAAAATGTTCCAGAGAATCTTTGAGGGCCCTGACATCCAGGATGCTAATGCTTTCTCCATGTGCAGCGTAGAGCTTGGTGGGGCAGGAGTGGGAAAATACAACACTGGTCACATCATCAGCACCTGCGAACCTCACATGTCCTAACGGTGTCCCATCCTCACCCCACGCTGTGAGATCTCCACCCACTGCTCCTGAAGCCACTAGCCCATCTTTGCTTGCATTCAGGCAGAGGATGGGAGAAGAATGTCCATCAGTCCACTTGACTGCCATCATGGTCAGGGGACTCTGTGAAGGGCAAGAAAAACTATGATGTTTTAGGCCAGAACTTGATGGCAGCAGAGAAATATAACAAGCAGTATTTCATTTAAACATTTAAAAAAGACATCTTTAAAAACTCAGTAACAAACTGTACTGTATCCCTAAAATGTACCAATAAACTCAATTAAAGCTGAAAAAAAAAAAAAAAACTCAGTAACAAAGCTGGGTGTGGCGGTGCACACCTATAATCCCAGCACTCAGGAGGCTGAGGCAGGAGGATTTGAGACCAGCCTGGGCTACACAGAGAGTTCCAGATCAGTCTCAACTACACAGTGAGACCCTGTCTCAAAAAAACAAAAAACAAAACAAAACAAAACGAAAAAACCCCTCAGTAACAATAATGAAAAAAAAAGACACTTAACTTTAAATTCACAGCTGAACTCAAGGTTGTGGTGTGCTGGCTGGACATGCCTAACCGGGCTTCCCTGCCAGTAGGGCCCCAGGCAAACCTGAACCTCCAGTCTTTGATGTGTGACTCATGTAAGAATAAACACTAAGTATATTTATTTTACATTAGGAAAGTCTTTTAAAGAGATGTCTCTATAATCATCATATTGTACTTTTTATATGGATAATATTTTAGAGTGTGAATTCTATGGCCAAACTCTAGTTTTTTAAAAGTCACTTTCCTTTTCTATAAAATGGGGATGATAATAATAACACCTATTTCATAGGATCATTGAGAGAATGCAACGATATACATAAAAACACATATCATGGTGTCTGATACATAACAAATACTTCTATTATTACTTTTCCTATTTTTATAAGGCTGGCCAAAGTGGCATCATATATACTGTACTACAACAGTGGCCTCAAAGTATATTTCCCAACAACACGTGGTGAACTTAGCAGCATAAAGAAATATGTTAGAAATAGAAATTGTTGGGTCCTACCCTAGACCTGCATGTTGACCTCCAGGGGGCAGGACCAAGCAATGTGTCTTAACAAGTCCTCCAGATCGATTCTGATGCAAGTTAGAATTTTACAAGCTAGGGCCGGGGATTTAGCTCAGTGTTCCACTGCCTGCCTTCCAAGCACAGGGACCCGAGTTCAATCCCCAGTAACAAAAGCAAAACAAAACAAAAAAGAATTTTACAAGCTGTATTACACTAATCATTCTTTGGGAAGTGAATAAAAATGCAGACCCTTGGTCTTATCATGAGAGACTCAATAGGTTATTTGAGGCTTTTTTTTTTTTTTGAGACAGGGTCACTATGTTATTTAGGCTGGCTTTGAACCTGCAGCAATCCTGCCTCAGCCTCCCAGGTGCTAGGAATATAAGCGTGTAGCTCCACTTGGCCTATAAGTCTTTTTTCCCTTGGTACCAGGAATCGAACTCAGGGCCTTGTGCTTGCCAGGCAGGCATGGCACCAATGAGCTAAATCTCCAGAATAAGTGTATTTTAAAAACAATCCTTTTGATTAATTTTATTCTAGTTTTATATATAATAAAACTCAAATCTCAGGACTGGGAAACTGAGTGGTAGAGTATGTACAAGGCTGAACAAAAACAAATAAAAAATAAAACAAAAAAACTCATGGTCAGAAAATGTTAAATAATTTGTCCAAGGCACTTGGCTTGCAGCATTTGTATGCGGGATCCAATATAAAGGAATCCCATATGTTCAAATAATGAAAACCCTTTTCTGACAACTCCACTTGACAAGTTTTATTAATATCTTTTGAGTGTCAAAAATGACCCAAAGCTATTAATTCATTACTGCTTTTATTTATTTATTTGGTACCAGGAATTGAACTTAGGACCTCAGAACCACTGAGCTAAATCCCCAGCCCATTACTGCTTTTAAATGTATTCACATATTTTTAATCATACTAAGGAGTGAAACTTAAGATTCCTGCTCCCTGTTAAGTCCATATATACATACTGGAGTTGCCATATAATAACTGCCCTATTCAAAGTACCTATCGGTTAGGGATAAAAAAGGAATTGGCAATTTATACAACTGTAATGGTCAGATGAAAGCAACCAAGCAAATTTTGTATTTCACAAGCCAAAGGAAAATTTACAAAGGAAAAATGGCCAGAGTTTCTTTACCATTTTCCGAGAAGATACTTGAATTTAATCCAATGAATGGTATAGAGATAGATTTCCAAAATTTATGTTTCAAAACAATCACCTAAATCTAGCAACCTGCTCTAAAGTTTCTATTCTCAGAACATCAGTCTAAGTTCAGAAAAAACAGGAAAAAAAATGATATATAACCTATTTAGTTATTTGGTGTTGGGGATTGAACCCAGGGCCCCAACTCTTAAATTATTTTAAATATAGGTACTGATGTCATTTAATTTTAGGAATTGTCCAGCCAGGGTTTTAGCTCAGTGGTGCTGCAAATGCCTGGCAAGTGCAAGGTCCTGAGTTTGATTCCTGGTACCGGAAAAAAAAAAAATTAGGAATCGTCATACCAACATATAATAGAGATGCTATCTTACCTTAAAATATGAAACTTAAATTAGCTTAGGAAAAACAATTTAAGTCACAAATAATTTATCTTGCATTTGTAGGGGTTTGACCTCTTTTTAAAATTAGGGTTTAACTTTTTGCTATGATGAATCAACCCCCCCGCACCCCCAAGACAGGGTCTTGCTACATAGTTCAGGGTAGCTTTGAACTCACTATGTAGTCCAGGCTGGCCTCCAACTCACTACAATCCTCTAAATTGGCCTTTTGAGTGCTGGGATTATAGGCATGCATTACCATGCTCGGCAGATGTTGATCTGATTCTATTCTATTTTGAAACAGGGTCTCACTATGTAGTTCAGGCTGGCTTTGAACTCCCATGCAGCCCGGACTGGCCTCAAACTCACGGTGATCCTCCTGCTTCAGCCTCCCAAGTGCTGAGATTAGAGGCATGTGCCACCATGCCTGGCAGATACATCAATTTTAAAATCAGGAAATCTATATAGCTTTAAGATTTGTTTTTACATGTGTGAATACAGGTTTTGGATTCTAGGTTGGATTTCAGGTTTTTAGTAAGAATGAGACAAGGCTTCTAGTACTTCTATTTCTGTATCATTAATCTACAGGAGATCCAAATAAATGCAGACTGGCAGGCAAAGGCATTAGCAGGTTTTCTTTCTAATTCTTTTCTGGAAAAAATTAACTCAATTGTAAAGGTACATTTAGTTAAACTCTACCCCAAAGTATGAGAAGTTAGGCAATAAATGATTTTCATAGTTAAGGGAATTATTATAAACAATATAGTTCCTATATATTTTTCCATAATAGAACCAGTAGTAACCTGTATTAATTCCACAGGACCAAGAACAGTTCAAAACCTTAAACTCTATGCAAAGAGTAAAAAATAAATTAAATTTCTACTCTAAATGACATGGATAATATTTACTGATCACCTACCTAGTCAGAAAATTGAAGACCAATTTTTGGAAATGTCAAAAAAGTTGGAAAAGCCTCAAAAAAATCTATAAATTCTGTGAGACTTTTTTGTTTTGTTTTGTTTTTTTGGGTTTTTTTGGGGGACAGGGTCTCACTATGTCGTTGAGACTGACCTGGAACTCACCATGTAGCCCTGGCTGGTCTTGAACTCAATGATCCTCCTGCCTCAGCCTCCCAAGTGCTGGGATTTCAGGCGTGTGCCACCATGCCCAGCTCTGTGAGACTTTTAATTTTAATCAATTTACATTTATCACACTTAGTAATGATCAAGGATTCAACTACAGCCTCTAAAATCATTTGCTTAGTCCCTAAAATTAAAATTATTGGTTATTATCTGAAACATATCCAAAGACCACATCAAAATATCTTAAGTGGACTACTATGGTAGAAGAAAAACTGTAATTACATTTGGATTCTGTGGGGGACTGCCCCATTGAACATGCCCGAAGCAGGCTGAAAGCAGTGCAGGCAGTAAAGAGTAACCTTGCAATCGGAATGTTTCAACGAGTCCAACTGAAGTATACGTGACTCACAGGGGCATTTTGGACAGTGTGTGGGTCAATATCAACACCCCCCTGCCACCAATGGCCATGGCACAGACCAGAGAAATGTCATAGGAGATAACACACAGCCTAGGTCAGTGACTCACATCCAAATTCCATTCCCAAAATTCAAGCCTTCTTAAATAGAAGGACAAGATTATTTGCTAACTACAACCTATATTTTGTCTGTTCTGTTACTAATTCAAGAATGCCAGGCTGGGGATTTAGCTCAGTGGTTCCAGCACCTGCCTTGCAAGCATTAAGGACCAGAGTTTGATCCCTGTTACCAAAAAAAAAAAAAAAAAAAAAAAAAAAAAAAAAAAAAAAAAAAAAAAGAAAGAAAGAAAACAAAACAGCCAGGGATTTAGCTCAGTGATTCTGCCCCCTGCCTCACAAGTGCAAGGTCCCGAGTTAGATCCCTGGTACCCTCAAAAAACAAAAAACACAACACCCAGAATGCCTTGTCTCTTCCTTTACAAACCTTGCTCTACCAACAGCATATCCCTAACAGCTACATGTAGCCCCTTTACTCTGATCTATGATGTCACCAATAAATATCAATGGCTTTGGCTTGCCAAGGTCTTTGCTGCTTAGCACTGGCCATTCTGGCTGTCCATTTTTCTCTTTAATTTTGTCTGTAAGTCTTTCTTCTCACCATGTGTCATAGCACTGAACAGGAGATTGGGATACACAGGGGTCTCCAGTAGGAGACCATTATAACAACAGTTTCAGAAGTAGGTTCTTGGCAAGCTACTATTTCTTGTTTTTCTGATTGGGACTGGAAAGCCTACCAGAAATAGGTTAAGTGCCAGAAATTCCACATTCATGTATCAAGTCAACAAGCTGCTTTTCCTGTATAATTGCCAAAAAGGTCAAGCACAGCAATTAATCATTCTCTTGTAGATTACTTTAATTAGATAATAGGTTCTTTCCTTCTAACACCTAATGAGATCATGGTGGGTGAGGGCAAGGTGGGGTATTCTGAGAGCATTTCTAGAAAGGGTGGAGTGCCACGGTGGCTGTCATCAATAGCAGGGGACAAAATGAGGTACTGTACATGAAGAAAGGGGGCAAGGTGAGGAGGGAGTGATCAGGTAAAAGACTTATAAAGAAGGGAGTGATAGGGCCAGAGATTTAGCTTAGTGGTTCCTCTGCCTGACTCCCTGGTACCAAAAAGAAGGGAGTGATAAAGGTAATTTTTTCCTACTGTGAGATCCTACATGGGCTATTTGGAGGCTAGGATGCCACTGTAAGTCACCCCAGTGACTAAATGAGCACCAGAATTATCAGATCCTTCCCAGGCTCTACTGCACTTGTACTGAGTCAGGATAAAAGCCAAAGTCTTTAATAACTGAATGATTTCTACTTTCAGTGCACTTCTCCAGTCCCTTATCAGACAAAATTTGGTTCAGCTCTAAGGAAAGAGTCACCCTTGCTACAATTAATGAAGATCAACTTTTCTTCATAGGTTTGGGCTTCCTAAGGTTGGTCTTGATGTGGAGACACTTAATAGCAATCAAAATGGTTGAAAGTCGGGCCGGGGATTTAGCTCAGCGGTTTTGTGGCCTGCCCTGGAAGCTCCAGTACCCAAGTTCAATCCCCGGTACCCCCCCCAAATAAAGGTTGAAAGTCAGTGGCACAGGTATTGATAAGAAATAAAAAATAATTTGGGTTTCTGAACTTGGTGAAAAAGGCAACCACGAAGAAGATACAGGCAAGTAATAAACACGTAATTATATCAGAGGGTAGGAACAGTAGTAGCTATTTCGTTTTACTAGCGAACAAGAAATGGATTAACACAGCAGGAAGTTTCAGGCACGATTTCTTACTACATAAAGATTGCAAGACATTGGAGTTAACTACTAAGCGAGTCTGGGAAACTTATCATTATAATAATTACCTGAGAATTATAATGAAACCAGTTTAAGGGGCTGACAATGCAACTCAGTGGTAGAGCACTTGCCTAGAATGTTCAAGGCCCTGGGATCGCCAGCACTACAAACAAAACGGCAAAAAGCCTAGTACAATTCCTCACTCACAGTTATTATTACTATTCTATCCATAGGGGAACCAAATAAATGTTGACTGGAAGACAAAATTTTAGGTTTTTTTCCCTAATTCTTTTCTAGAAAAGACTAACTCAATCTTTTGTTCTTTAAAAGATATCAGAAAATTGTCAGGGCCGTGCAGGATAAATGCATATGAACAAATAATGCTGAAACTCTTCCTCTTTCAAGAAACCATCTATAATATAGCCTCCATGTCACTCTCCCTACTGGAATGTTTAACTGTGTAAAACATTAATCTGCCAACTAACCGGTGAATCTGGCAATACATTTTATTCAAGGATTAACTGTGGTGAACTTTGAGGTTATTCAAACTTGGGGGGGATGGGTGGAGAGGGTATTCATTTATAGCCACCTGAATTTCTAAACGCACGCCGGGGACAGACGTCCTGATAAAGTACTCATATTCAGGGCAACAGGGCCTGATGGGGAAAAGACGTCCCAGCACCCCAAAGTAAAGAAAGAGGCTCGCACGTAGCCAGAAAAAGACCTAAGGTCTTTACCAGGAAGAAGATGTTCCACGCGTTAAATTGGAGGCTGACGCAGGAACCAAGTGACACAGAGAAACTTTGTATAAAAAAGAGCTTAAGAGACCGCCGCGAGCCTACCAGATCATAACAGATATTAGAAGGCAACCCCCAAACCCACCGTTCCCAAGACTCGTACCTGCTTCCCGGTTGCCTCCTTGGCGCCTCGGGATGACCTCACCAGCAGCGTCCAATCCCAGCAAGCTTGGGGAACGAGGCACCGCCCTCAAACGGTCACATCCGGAGGCCGAGCGGAAACGCGAGCGAGCTGGGCGTGCGCCCTTGCTTGGTGCCCTCAACCCGCATGGCGGAGCCTGGGGTTTGCAGCGGCGCGGCCGGGCG